GGAATGGAGCACATCTCAAAAAATTAGCCAACAATCCTATTCATTCACATCCAAAAAGATATGAATCAACTACTACTATGATTCATGCCAAAACTCAGTCGTCAAAGCAGTTAAATAACCGCCTAAGATCTTCCACAGTGAGACGAGTTGCATGAGAACTAGTTTGATCTTCTCCGAAAGCAGTAGAAACCATCTTCCTCTTCTCCTCCTGGATAAAACATATTTCCAATGCAGACGGTGCAATTAACGTTATAAACGATGCATGACTTTGAATGACTATAGCAATAATATGACTATAGAGATGAAGTTGAAAGAACAAAACATGATTAAGATTTCAAATATACTGAAAAATACTTCCTAGTCAAATATGGGATATATGGTACATTACCACATGATTATCAACCATTGCTTGGATTATCTTCTTTAGATACAAAGTACTACCAAAAGATACCATGTTTGATGTTGGTTTGACCATTGTTTAAAAATAGCATGTCTACAAGGTCAGCGGTTGCTTCATCATGATTACGCCTAGTCATACAGGCAACTGGACCTTTAAACCTTGTAAAGGAACATAAATTGCCAATTGGAAAAGCAAGAACCCTATGGGGAAGGTCTATTTACATTCATCCAAGACCCTACATACATGGAAAAAATTTTCAGAATATCAGAATTTATGATATTAGCAAATAGTACTCTTACAATCATTTTCAGCAATATGAAATTTTAGATTGAACAGGTCTGTGCATTATTAGCATTAACACAAGCAGAACAATGGGTCAGAGTGTGAAGACTGAATTAGCATTAAGTCAACTAAGAATGAATTTCCCCTATTTTTCTGGGATTAACTAAATTTGGCATCTTATTGTTCCACATTAACCTTGCATCCACTCAGTAAGCAAATCAACTTATTAGCTATGTGAACCAACTAAAGCAGGTAATAACAATCAGATAAAGACACGACTTACGAATTCTATAACTGTTTTCCAGAGTTCAAAATTTTGATTCTTCAGGTCACATGCTCCATAATTTAATTTAAGAGTCTGTGATTAACGATGACACAAGAGAATACCATAATGATCCAACCATAAAATGCTGCAAAAAAAACGACGTCACAAAAAAGTTACCTGAAGAGCTAGTATCCGATCTTCGACTGTATCTTTAATAGTTATTCGGGAAACAGTCACAGGACGAGTCTGCCCAATTCTATGCGCTCGGTCAATTGCTTGATCTTCAGTAGTTGGATTCCACCAAAGATCAAGAAGAATTACATGACAAGCAGCCACCATATTCAGGCCAAGGCTTCCTGCTTTAAGTGACATGAGCATAACAGTTACCTGAAGAACAATACCGATGTTTATTCTCCAAAAATGAAAAAGAAGAGAAACCAACAACTTGAAAAAATTAAAGCACAAACTAAAATCAACCACAAGTACAGAAAAATTATATAAATTATTTGATTATCGAACCTCTGGATCAGTGTTGAAGTCTTTCACAGCCTTGTCTCGTAACATGAGAGACATTGTCCCATCTAGCCTTCGATACTGTATAAGACACTCATTCAATGAAAGCTCAAGTAAGTCGAGCATGCTGGTCCACTGGGAGAAAACAATAGCCTTGGCTGGCATGTCAGCATTTGAGTTTAACAGAGTGGAAATATGATCAGAAGAATTGGCATCGGACTTGGAACCACATATCATGAGATTATGTACTTCAGAACTTGGACAAGAGATTGACTTTAGTATATCTAGAGCTGCTCTGATTTTGGAAGAGATGTAACCACTATGGACAATTGATCCATCATCAAATGAACAACTAGTCGAAGCTTCATCATCAAAATTGTCAGATATACAACTTTTTAATGTACTTCGGGAGAAAATGGACTCAGTACCAAGTACATCTCGACAACCAGGTGCAGGACACAAGTTCTCATCACCAGTTAAACGCTCAGATATACACTGATAGCAGAAAACATGCCCACACATTGCCACAACAGCATCCTCTGGTGGGTCCTACATAAGTACAATGTGATTAAGTTTCAGGACAACTACAAAAAAGATCAATTAAACATGTAAAAGAGGATGCAGTTTTTTTCTTTTTCTTTTTTTTGGTAAGGTTGCATATGTTGACCTAATGGGAGCCTTGTGCACCAGGCCGTCCTTAATTATTAAATGCTTATACTTACCACCAGAATATGAAATCGTGAAAACACATTATGACACAAATTACCAGCAGCATAGATGTGTTTGTTAAATTGATTGTGAAGCATAATTCATTGTCATAAAAAATTTGACTGGGTACTAATATCAAGATATTTCATGCACTAAAGACAGGCAGTGTACTAAAACTAAATCTGTCAGAAAGTCAGAAAAGACAATGCAACAAATCAAGCATATAAATTGTAGATTATAATATAAACACTTCAGCAACCGATTCAAACTGACAATAAAAATCCTTTATGCAGCTCTAGTAGGAAGGAGCTACTGATACGGAAGGCAATAAAGCATATTTATGTCCACATGTGCTCCATGATTCCATGCATGATATACTCTAACTCAAATGTCATATATCTTTCTTCATTGTAAGTTCTGCAATCTCAGGTGTCATGAACACACAGCAGACTTCATAATATAAATCAATTTAGCAATCCCACAAGAAGAAATGTCCTAAGTTGCTCACAGAAAGTCATCAAAGAAGTCCTCGTGCCCTTTCACCTATATTAGGCGAAACACCAAATTCTGACACCTGCCTAGTCCAAGGAATTCCCAGTCTCTGGTTGTATCAAAGACAACTAGTTTATACCTTTGGAATGAGCAAATATGTAAAAGTTAAACATAACCAGTGATTGCAAAAGGCGCTCGGGCGCTCGCCTAGGCGCTCGGGCGCTCGCCTAGGCGCTCGGGCGAGGCAAGGCGAGGCCCAAGCGCCTCGCTAATGTCCCAGGCGACGCG